TTCCTATTTGTGGATCAGATACTGATCTGTTCTGTTCTGGGTGACCGCAGTCTCACACTGGAAAGGTTTTAATTTTCCATTTGTGCATCAAGTATCTGAAATTGTTTGTGAGGATGCAATTTGGAGTTGCCCGTGAACATCACGGGAGATCAAAGCCAGGGACCCTTCTGCATTGGATCTATCACAAGATGTTTATTTGGGACCTCTTATGAACTCCATTTGGTTTTCCAGGCTTCATCAGGGTGGAAGTCACATTTGTGAAAGTTAAGGGTGTGGATCCAGAAGGGCTTGCATGACTTTAGGGGATGGTGAGGGGCATTGTTGAAGTCCCGGTGGATGGGAAGACATTTATTTTCCTTAATTCATTATACTTTCTTGTGATCCTATGCGAATCAAAGCAATAAGCAACCTGTATAATCATATCTTTCTTCCTCTTTAGGAAAGCTAAGGCAAGAGCTATAGGGGGAAAAAATGGTGCCTTGTTTGCTAGCTTGCTATCTGTCACACTAAAATATATGGAGTTTCTTTTCTGTTTTAGTAATAAAATGTGCCTACCATAGCATATATTTTTAAATAACATTTTAAAATATTTTCCGGTAAATTAAAGTGGTGACATGTTTGTAGGGTTCATTGTTAATTTCATTTCCTTTTGCTCAGCCAGCCAGATAAAACACAAAGTTATTAATCTTTGTTTAAAAGAAGATCCTTTGCTGAACAATAATGAATGATCTTGATAGATTTGTCAGGAAAATGAATGATAATCATTTGCAGATAGACACAAGCCTACTATGGAAGATTAATAAGAAAATATGTATTGGCATCATTAATAATGCCTGCTGCCAATGGACTTGTATATCAATTACAATTCTGAAAGCGATGTGTTCTTGTTAGGATATTGCTATTTATCACAAGCTGTGAAGAGCGAGGATGTATGAGTCCTGCAGTGCTGACAAACTATTCCCTGAGAAATGCTGGCGCAGAAGATAAAAACTTAATGCAGGGTGGATCCCTGTGTGGTTTCATGCCTCTCCTCCTTTATTCATTCCTTCTTTCTGCTTAATTCCTACTCAAACCTGCTGTGTTTTGAAGACCCCATTCCCTTACCTTGCTGTTGCATTGTCCTGGGATACCAAGGAAGGTGTATTTTTGAAACATCTAAATACACCTTCACAAGGCCAGTCTACGAGACCATAACTGCATGGGCCTGAGCTGGAGTTGGTTTAAATCCCCATTGTTCCTTTGGAAATACATTCACATCAGCTGAAATTCTGGTCTCAGGTGCAAAAAAATAGTCCCAATTTCAGTATTTGCCATTGCACTACATGATCTCCTTTTTAGTGAGCCCGTGTGAGAGCCTGTATCCCCGGAAGTCTCCTTGAAAGTCTGCCAGAGTTTTACCGGCTAGTATGTGCTTTGTTTGTCACAATGTGAAAGCATCGTGGCGTTGTTGGATGCACGGCACGTTGGCAGACCAGTCTCTGCACAGTCGCGGTGTACGAATGTCACTAGTGCTTGCGATAAATTTGATTCTCTCACTTTGCTAAATTTTCCAGTCTTACTTATATCAGCCTAACTGTTGTGCCACCTTTAAGGTGCTCTTGGGAGTTTTGCCTTCCTCAAACCTATGAGGAGGGCTCTGGACTTGCATAGCAGTATTGGTGTTTGCAAAAGTACTTTCCTCCAAATTATTTAGTACGTTTTGGCAGCACCACAAAACTGAAGGTATCCTGGTCCATTGGGTGGATGGATAAACTGTGGGAAGCTATGGATGTATCCAAGAACCTCATGGCATTAGGCATAGCGCATAGATGCATGTGTTGGTTGCATACTGAATCGTTGAGAATCGCAGATCACAGAGGGGAGGAGCGGGAGAGCGTAAGAGCAGGCTTCAAGGGGGCGACCAGGACAGACGAGCACTGGAGATTACTGGAGCCAAAAAGGTGGAGAAGAACAATGATGGAAAAAGAGAGACAGTTGAGTGATGGGGAAAAGGTTGAGATGGAAAGAGGGAAGGTGAGAAGGAGAATAACGTAAGTGGAAGAGGGAGAGGAAGCAGAATGATGGAAAACAGCATTCACGTGGAAAGGGCATATTTAACACGGTGCTTTCCAAAAGCAGACTCACGTCGGTTCCTGGTGACTTCCAAAAATGAAGTGGTTTGAACCGACTCAGAACACGTGGTCTTAAGATGGCACTTGCCTTTGGGGTAAATGGCCTGGTGTCGTTTGGGAGCCTGATGCGCCTATGGTCAGACTACATATCCCATGATACATCACATAATGTAGCCAGAAGGGAAACCACATTTCCTTATGGGAAATGAAGTCTGGTCTGCAAAAGAGACCATGTCACGTGAGAGCAGCAGTTCCTATCTCCAATGCATAGATAGAGAAATGCAGCTGGTCTCAGATCAGGTCAACCCAATCAAACCCTTGGGTCCACTCATCCAAGTGAAACGGTCCAATTTAAATCAATCAGGCCTGAAAGAAGGGTCGGGGCAAATCGAAATTTTCTGTTTCCCTTTTGGAGAATCAGAAATTTTCCTGTGTACATGTTCATATGTGTGGCAAATTCCTGGTCCGTTCTCCTTAAGTCCCATGTTTCTCTCCATGAAGGACTTTTTGAGCATGGCGATGTCTGTGGCATTGCTTTGATTTGGTCCCTATTAAGATCCACAGGATTTTTTCCCCGCTATGAGACCTGTCCAGAAAAGTTGCCTAATCACTCTTCCTTCCCCAGAGGCACTGGCCCTGAACTGAGGTGCAGATGATGTCTTGGAGGTATAGTCCTAATTATCCCGTGCAACGTCTGGGCAGCATGTGATGTCTTATAAGCACGCACACGCCATCTTGGCCAGTGTAGCCTGAGAGAATCCCTTGGCATTTCCCCACTCTTACATTTCTCTCTTTATGTGGCGACATCTGAATTACAGCTTTGCTTAACTTGCCTTCATCTCAGTTTATGCTGAGTACCAGGCACTGCACAGCACACACCAGCCAGTGTAAAACAGTTATGGTAGGAAACATGGCACTCAGTTGTACTGCAAGGGGAGGGTGCAGTCTTCCATCCAGTTTTTGGTAAGACCAAGATCTTTTATCACTATTGCAAAAGTACTTTCCTCCAAATTATTTAATATGTCTTGGCAGGACCATGAAGCTGAAGGTATCCTGGTCCATTAGGTGGATGGATAAACTGGGAAGCTATGTATATGATGTATATGTATCCAAGAGCCTCACTGCCTTAGGCATAGCACATCTATGCATGTGTTGGTTGCATACCAACACCAAAAGTACTTGGAAAGTACTTTTGCATCACTCTCCCCTTCAGAAGGTGAAGGATGGTATTATTTCATGGCAGCAACAACAGACTCCCCCTCCCTCTGCTACTGCAATGTAAAGCGATTTGGATCGGATGAGGAGCTGGCACTCAGCAAGAGGCCATCACAATGCTAGATGAAGTCCAGGGCTGATGTTCCAGATTCCCTAGCGGGAGACAGCTGGCCACACAGCTGCTTATTAAGGCTGGCCAATTCCATAGAGCAAGCATTGCATGCTTGTCTGTGCAAGGGAAGAAACAGAGCTCTGCACTCGGCCCCGTGGGGTGGGGACGCCAGGCTGGGTGGCCTGCACAGCATGGCCAGATGAAGCCGCCCCCTGGCTCATTTCAAAACGAAAGGCAAAAGCCCAAGCCTTCCCTCCTGCACGAAGCAGGGCAGCCCAGGAGACCACCTGGCTGTATAAGTGGCCACATTTGCCGCCGGATGCTTAAAGGCAGGGTAAGCCTCCTCTTTTGGGAGGGAAGCATTAAAAACCTGCATGTTTTTAAAAAGCCAGGGACTGTATGCTTTCCACCTGAGAGTCTTGGTACCGAGGAGGAATGGCCTAGGCCCAGGCTTGTAGGTGGGCTAGGCTGTCTGATAGTGGCCAGCCAGGTGAGAAGCAGCTGGTGCTGTTCCTAATCAGGCATGTGCCCGGTTCTTAGCCGTCCTGTTGAAACCCGGACCCCATGGAAGACAAGGGAAGTTTTGCTGCTGACTTTGCTGTAGCCAAAATTTCACCCTCTGTTGTTATTTCTCACCCTCTCTGACCACCTCCCCCCAGCTGGGCAAGTTTCATCCATCTGCCAGGTCTCATCACCAAGATGCTTAAGTCTACAAGCTCTAGCTCCAATAAAAGACCTGAAGCGAGGTGCCTACCCAACCCTCCTCCCAAGTGAGAGACTCATGTGTGTTGGGTTTTGTTCCTTCGTCTGCCTGATAGGGTGCAAATCCATGCCTCTCGCATCTCAAGAGAGGACCCTGACCACCACATTAGAGGTTACTTTAGGCCGCCTTCGGTTGATGTTGGGCCCATTGTGCAGCAAAGCATTCACTAGGTCAAAGAGAAGGAGGGATGGAAAGTGAGCCTGACTAAAGCCTAGTGGTTAGGGTACTCATCTGGCCAATGTCCCCCCTACCCCCACCAAAAAAAATAAACCCAAAAAACCAAAACAGCCTACAGGCTGGTGGTTAAAGCAATGTTTAGGAAGCAATAGTCACAACAAATCCCTATAGGCGTAGAAGGGAGAGAAGTCAAAGGCTCCCACTTCCATGAGCGAGTGCTGCAATCACAAGGCTATGGTTTGAAAGGAAACAGTCCCAGAGGAAGCTGTGGTGGTATTAGCAAGGAGCATGGTAGCCTCATCCCGCTGGTACAAAGTGGACATGGTGGACAAAGTGGACATCTTACGGCATCTGAGCAGAGCAACACCTTGTTGGTAGAGCATGATCAGGCTTAGACCTGCGATACATGGCGCTCAACTCATCCCTGTCAAGACTGGAGAACATCTGGGCATGCATAAAGGACCAGGTCTATGGAGCGTGGGGGCAAAGCTTGTCATTTACTGTGGAGCATCCAGCACTGTGGGGACCTGGGCTGTGGGGGGCTTCAGGCGTTACTGAGACGTAGATGACCCCTTATAAAAATAACCTTAAATAGTACTTCACTATTTTTAAAGGTCTTTTATTGCTGGTAACACTGTTAAAAGGCAACATCAGTTCAATGCATAAATAGTGGTCCAGGCACGACCATGGAGGCAGTATGGTCCCTCAGGAGTGGAAAGACATGACTCAGTTGTCCCCTATAGATATTGAAAATGTTATTTGCAGGCAACCCTTGGACCTTTGGGTTCTCTCTGCTTGGCTGATCCAGCTATTCTTTGTGGTTGGCTGACACATACCTTAGGGTTGTTTTTGATAGGCTAACACACAATCTAGAGTTGTTTTGATAGGCTAACCTGGAGGCGTCTCTGGTTGGTTAAGAGGCTGTCCCGCTCACAATGCGGAGCTAAGTCTTAGCCTGGATGTTCAGTCGTGGAAGGGTCCAATAGCTACAATGTGCGTCAGAGCAGTCTGAAGACAAGGGATGAAATCCATGCCTGGGCCACCATTCAGGGATTGCTTATAGGGACTATGCTGGTGGCTTGATGGGTAGACATAGGTCTTTTCATTGGTCCATATGGGGATCGCCCATAACGCTGATATGGGGCAGCAAGGTGGTCATGGAGGTTGTAATGGGAATTTTCTTGTCTGCTATAGTAATGACCCTGGTCTGAGTCTCTTGCCCTGCCTATCACTGAAAATCAGAAATAAATCCACTAAGGCCAAAGGTAAAACCAGCATAAAGAAGAGAACAGGCCAAGGCACCAGATGTTGGCCTGAGCTAACGCCTCCAGAATCGAATAACCCCCGAGCTTTCCTTTGAACCGAGCTTGGCTCTAAGCCTCATCGTTGACTCCTGCTTTTTGAGTTGAGTCAAATCCTGCCCTGAAAACCCCCGAATGCTGAGGCTGATTTGGTTCTGAATCCGGGTCACACCGGGCTTTATTGTTCCCCATGGGAAATCCATGGGGCTAAAACCTTTTCCTACAACCAGTGCATTATCGGAAGTTGCACAAGAAGCGTTCTAGAGCCTAAGGGCCAGTCTGTTGTCTCCGTCGCCTACTGGCTCCAGGCTGGGGTGAAGAGGAGGAGGAGGAGGTTAATTTGTTCTTTTCAATTTGCATCCGTAGTGGTTCTGAATCAAAGCCAAGTAGGTTGAGGACTGTCTGCAGCCCCGGCTCCCACCTCAGCCGAAATATCCCCAGAGAAACACATTGATAACCAGCAAGAGCAAAGCGTTTACGTTACAAACTGTCTTCCACAGGGGCTTCTCCACGATGCTGGTGAGTTTCTGCTCTTGGGCTGCTCTCTCTTCCCTGGTCAAGGTGGGCGTTGAGTTGGCAGACATCCCACAGAACCAAAAGTACGTCTTCTTCCAGCACGGCATCTCCGCTGCTGCAGGGAACAAATGCAGAGAGAGGGCATCCATACCCTGGGTTATCCTGCTCGCCTCTCCACGGCCTAATACCCAACACATAGACCACGCAACCCAGGTGCAAACACTGCTGCTGGAGGGGGTCTGGGGTGGAAAGCCATCATACTCAGCCACGTTCTCCATGGCAGAGAGTTATTCCCCCTCTCCTCTGATTGCCGGTCAAGGAGCCAATGGCTTAAAGCTCAGAAAAGGCTTTTTCTATAATGCTCTGACAAGCAAAATGGCCAGTCTGAGCACCATGGTGGCTGTGTGGCTCAAACATTTTCCTCCTCAAAGAGCATATTGCTGTGAATAAGTCTCCCTCATTAGTTCTTCTAAGAATGGGATTTGGTACACTGGTCAAGCTCTTTTGAAACAGCAATGGCCATTTTACACACGGGGAATGATTGAGCCTGGCTGTGAGGGCCTTTCAATAGTGCTTGGTCTAGTCTACGTGTTGCTTTTGCCCCCAGCTTGGCTATAGAAACAGCAATATAGAAACGGAGGCAGAAAGAGGCTACGTAAGTTGTTGAACTTCATGTTTCGTGGTTGTTGGGGGCTGGAAGGGACCTTACAGCTCATCAGGTCCAGCCCCCCTGCACTTGGGCAGGAAAGACTGCATTGTTGAATTTCTGGGTGCCCACCGCTTGAATGGAGGGCTCAGCCTCTTTGTCAGACATTGAGTATCTCCAGGTGAGTGACCCAAGTCAATGGCCATGTCGGCAAAAAGCTGGCATGAAACAACAACCTGGCCAGGATTTTTCAGGAGATGCTTCTATCAGCTCTCAGCTTTCATCTGCCCGTCTAGGCTGAGGCAGAGGGTGCCTTGCAAAATTTAACCTTAATAAAAGGGGGAACTCATTAAATGCAAATGTTAAGAAGGGAAAGAAATAGAACATCATTAAACGTAAATGTTAAAAAGGGGAAAAAAATATTGTTCTTATTTCTCCTCATATCTGTCTTCACCCGCCTCCGTGACAGCTCGAGTCTGTCGCGGTCTCAGTCACGGGGCTCATATCCTGTTTATCATGAGTAAAGCGCTGCGTGCATTATGCCTTTTAATTATCATCCTTGCATTGTATATATTCCACTTTCCAAATATAGCCTCCTGTGAAAGGCACAATGTCATAAAAACTTGAAAAACGTGTTACCAAAAACCTCATTAAACTGTCGTCTACTGTGTTCTGTATTTCCTTTCCCATCAGTGCTAATTACCAAATTACCAAGACGTCCGTCTACAAGCAGATGAGGTGGTTCCAGTAAAGTAAGACTTGATAAGAAACAAATAACATCATGCGCTTGAATAGCTATGCTAAACTGCCGCCCAAACTTCCTCTAAAACCTGGCAAATAACTTTTTAATCTCTTGCCTCTTTGTAACGTGAACAGGACCATTGTGCCTAGAAAAGGCTGGTTTTGGCCTAGCCAGCGATGCAAAAAGGCAGTTCTTGTATTTATTTATTCAGAGACAGGTAACTGTTTTGTGGACTTGAGTAGATTAAATTCAAAATATGCACCCCAAATGCCGGATACTTTTCTAAAGGAAACCTCTGAATATGGAAATGCTTCAGCTCTCAGCAGCTCCTTCTCGCCTCTTCTTTAGCTCAAACTTCTATCATTGCATTACCAAATATTTGCTATCCCCTTCCCAGGCACTTCCTCTCTACATTTTAGGCAGTGCTTTTTATCCTTAAAGGTTAAGGTCTAATCTACAGGGAGGTGGGAAGCATGGCCATGTTATATACTGGGGAAACTGAGGCAGGGAGCCAGGTGGAGGATCCAATCATCTACTCATTGGCTCATAGTACCAACTGGGTAGCTTCTAGTTTGCTAGATTATAGTGTTGTTGCTGGGATGGAGCAGCGCTCAGCTGCGGGAACTTTCTCTTGCATAGAGACCAAAAAACTTGACGCGGGAATGATTGAAAAGGCAATGGAGACAAAATATGACCCATGAGAGGTCCCAGCAAGCAGCAGAGAGATGCTGTGCAATGCATTCAGGCCCTACCCACACTGCCCTAATGTGTGCAGCTGGAAGCAAAGGCGCCATTGAAGTCCATGATAGCTCTACTCCTAGGGGAGGTGTCTGTGAAGGGCCACGCGTGCCTGCTGTGTTGTCAGCATGACACAAAGTCACCTTAGCATAACTGGTAACCATGAAAATTGCAAGAAATGCCCCTGGATAGATTTCTATGCCTGAAAAAAAGGGGCTCCCCAAAGCACAGCCCACTACCCACTTGCAGCCTGTGAAGCATTCATGCAGTCTGCAAAGGAGCTTTTTAAGTGTCCATCCTCAACAGAACCGGCCAGTTGGCCAGGCTCTGAACAACTCTTTGCAGCAGCGCTGTGCTGCCTTACGGCAGCTTGGCCTACGTTAAGGCATAGTCCGGTGCAGCTATTGACTGGAAAGGTACTGCGCTGCATGGTCATCAAGTCGGTGCAACGTCCCAGTTTCAATGCACAAAACTCTGGGAACTTGCTTCGGCATTTATGGCAGGCGCTGGGTTGGTCCAGGCTCGAACGGGCCCCGACCACTGTTCTGTCAGAGCAGACGGGAGGTTTCAACCTAGCTGGCTTGCCAGCCTTTGGAAGGAGTTTAAAAAAGAAATAGATGCTCTTTGGCTCCATTCAGAGGGTTGGCACATGAGGGTAAGCCCAAACTTAATGGACAAAATACAAAAAAAATCCCATCACTGACTGCATGGTTCTTTCTAATGTCCCTTCCACAGAAGCCTGAGCCCCTTGACATCAAGGGAAGGATATCCAGTGGATTTGGAAACCACTGGGCTAGAATCCGATCCGGCACCTCTCAACGGGGACCTCAACTGCAGACCCAGCGCCCCATTGCCAGTTATGAGCTAGACCTCCATTCATAACTACCATGACACCACCCATGCGGGGCTCCACGTGGGGTGCACGCACAGCTGACACAGCCGGTTGACCTACCTCCTGGTTTATGTCCAGGCTCTGGGTCCATGGCCCCCAAATCATTCTCGCCCGTGGAAGGGTTGATCTCTGCGGACTCGTGTTTGTGGGTCTCCAGGTCCACCACGGGAGCATTGCTGTATCTAGTCCACCAGGTCAGCCGCACGAGCTGGATGGATGGAGAGCACAAGAGCAAAGGTGTTTATCATATGACAGTTCCCAGGGGAAGAGCAGAGCATGTGCTTTGGCTGGGAGCAGGAGCACGGGGTAGCCTTAAAGTGTGACCCAGCGGCGTGGTTCTCGTTTAGGCCATTTTCCCTGGGCACTGGCTTCTAGCATTTTAATCCTTTGGAAATGAGCTTCCTTGCACGGGGCAAGGCTACTTTTTTTTGGAAAGTACACCCTCTGTGCTCATAATCTGGTTTGGGGCTGAAACCAGGGGTCAGTTGTGGGTTTGGGCAGGATGAAAGTGTGATTTTCCCCTAACCTGGAAGGTTATTGTCCAAAGCAAGCAGAAGACACGAGGAGGGGATAATTAGCTGATTGTTTGTCTTTCATCTGCCAAATCCCCATCTTCAACAAAGACCTGAGCAAGCTGAAGGATGCAAGTGTCCCCCACAATAACATGTCTCTGGGCAGAGCCGGCTCTGACTGCAGCACTGCAATCAGGCACTGCAATGGTCCTGGCTGCTTTGGTGCCCCCATGCCCAGAAAGGCAATGCTTGGCTCACTGTGGTCTCTTCAGTGGTGCCAGGATGCCGCATACACAGCCGTGCCCAGGATGCATCTGGCATTAAAGAGCCAAATACATAAACTGTTTTAGGGGTGGGGGGGTCCCCTCCTTACCAGGGCCAGGCCTGCACCATTGCCTCCTTGGGCCTTGGTAAGTATTGATGCATTAGTCAGGACGAGGGTGGTGGGAGGAGATGAAAGTTGAGAAGACCCACCTATCTTTTACCCTAAGAGCCTACCCTAACACTTGTTCAGGTGGTTGACTTTGCATCACTTGACTCCCAGGAAAGTGCCCTAATCACTAGGCTGTGAGCAGTTAAGCCAGAAAAATGCCAGGCGCCAGGCACGTGCATGCAAGGGACCAGGACCTTCCAGCCTCTCTGCCCATGGAGGTACATCCAAGAAAGCACTTAAGGACTTAACACCATGGGGCTCACTGGGTTGTGGGTCATCGCTAACAAACCTCCGTTGTGAACACATTGGCCAGGCCCCTGGAAGCTAAAGGGGATTCACTGCCACTGATTTCCAGGGCACTGGAGCCACTAACGCTGTGTGAGGATGCAGGTCTTAGCAATGACCCTGCTGCTCCGTGTTCCTACACAGCACAGCAGTGGGGACAATGTTTTTTCATCCTGTCTCTAGAGGCCACCGAGCCCTCTCCCACCTCTCTGCAAACAACTGGGACCAGGAGGAACTGGAGCCACAGAGGAGCGTATGCACCTGGCAAAGTCACTGGAGCAGATTCCTCCTCTCTCCCTGAATGGAAATTCAGCTCTCAAATGGTCACTTAAAAAGGAACGTGAGTTTAATTTTTGAATTTTACACACACACACACACACACACACCTCGGCAGCAGTTTCCAGCTGACACAAAATGTTGCATAATCTCCAGAAGATTTATAGCTTTATTTAAATCATTTTCAACCAAGATGAGCATCGGGCAGGGCTAATCTTTCTTGTCACGTTGTGCTAAATTACTTTGATTTGATGATCCTCATCTTTCTTGAGGATTCAATTTTTTTTTATCATTTAGGAAATGTCACTGTAAAGTTTCAGGGCAGAGAAGGAGGTGCAAAACTTTCTCTTTCCTCCTTAACCCTGACATAAATGGTTGTCTTCTGTGTCAGGTTTCCCAAAGCATGGGATTCGGACCAGAATTTTGCTACGAGATCTGATCTTAGACCTGGCCTCTTCCAAATATTGATCTAATTTTAGGCATCAAAACTGGGGAAAAGCTGAATGTTTTGCACTCTGCGGGGGCCAGATTTTCAAAGGCATTTTGGCAGTTAAATACCTATTGGGCACAGCTACATGTGCATTAACGTGTGCTAGTTAATGCGCATTAAATGGAGTGCCTCTAGGCGCCTATACACAAGCTATTAATCATGCAATTGCCATGCTCCAGCAGGCTCCCGGGTCTCATGTATCAGCATCCCTGCACTTAAAAATGGTGGCGGGGGTGCTTGGACCAAAGCTTGTCGAACGAGCTTTAGTTCAAGCAACCCATCCGCCATTTTTAAGTGCGGGGATACTGATACAAGTGACGCAGTGGCATTTTAATTAGAGTGGCTCTTGGAGCTGCTCTAATTAAAGTGCTGTTCCTGCCCCGCAACCCCTGGAGGACGTGTAAAAGTGCTCTCCATTGTGAAGTACTAGGAAAATGTGCATTAGCCTGCCTCATGCACAATAAGTGTCATTTAAAAACTGTGCTCGTTAGTTAATGTGCATTAACCTATTTTAATGTGCATTCACTAAATAGCATGTTTTTTTTCAGTGATGCTTTATTGCACATTAAAATAGGCTAATGCCCATTCAAGAGCACATGTAAATGCACCCTGAGGATCAAGTCCTGGCTCTCATGAAAAGAAACACCCCACAATGACTTTCCACTTTTACTTCTAGAAATGCAATTCTAAGTGGGAAGGGGTCTTTAAAGGCCCAAAGGGGAAAGATGGTCAAGGTCACATATAGTAGTGGGGACACCTAACTCCCACCAAACTGCTGCAGGAAAAAACAAATCTGTCCAGCTTTAGTCCTTGTGTCATGAAACACCTTTCCCAGGCTGGCATGAGTGCCCACTTCCCTCTTGCACCCTCCCAGGCCTTTGCATTAAGGAACTGGCACGTTCCTTCCAGTAAAACTTTCACAGCGTGCCCTATCCGCTCCCTGAAATGTCCTCGAAATGACAAGCGCTGAAGCTTGACGTCGATGCTGAAAGCCAAGGACAAGGCCGTGGCACACGGAGGAGGCTGCGATCTCATTAAGTGCCGTCGATGTGGTGTTGCAAAAGGGAGATTGTGTCTAACAGGGCTGAGATTTTGGAGTAAGCAAAAAAAAAAAAAATGCTGACTCCGGTTGCGGGGAGGGGGGATATTATTAACATAATTTGCTTGGACCTCGGGAAAGTATTTGACACAGAAACACACAAGGTCGGAGGAACAGGGCACGCTGGACTGCATAACGAATTAGCTTCAGTCCTGAAGACAGGCAAGATCTCTGGATAGAAGCAGTTCAAGAGCAAAGGACTGAGGATTGCTACGCGGTCTTTTTGTTATAGCCACAAGCGCGGGGTAGCTCCATCGCCCGCGGGCTGCGCACCCACGTGCAGGTGGATGTTCAGGAGTTTGGGGAGGTGATGATAGAGGGTGCCCAAGGGGATGGGTCATGGTTATTGTCCACTAGAAGAGTTTGGGGTGGGGTTAGATAGGACCAGCTCCATGGGAAATGCTGGTGACTGCCAATGGCCTATGCGACTGGTTGCCTGGAGTGAGAATAGCAGACTGTGGCCAGGCCCGCTCCTTGGTTTCTCCATCAGCACCAGAACGAGAATAAGAGTTACCAGCCCTTGAAAAGTGCTTTGAGATCAATCCCACGCTCGACAGGGAGGTGGGAAAACCATGACCTGAGCTCAATTAAACTCAGCAGGAGACTACACGGCCTGAAAATGCTTCCCCCTATGGCGGAGTGACCTGCTAGGGGACAACGAGTAGAAGCCAGCAATTCAGCCAGCACTACTAATGCTTTAAGTCCAACGTTAGGGAGAGGAGCATGCTCTCTGGTGCATACGTGCCCCTTCATCGGAGGCAATGGAGCCCCTATGAATCCCTCCTTCCATCCTAAAGGCATGTGCACCAAAGGCACTCTGGGACGGAGGGGAAGTGGTGGATGTTTCTCTGGGTGAATCTGCCCTGCCTCATTGTCACATTGAGTTGGCACACCCCTTCCTCCCTCCAGCCTCCTGCTTTGGGAGACAGCCAGGCCTCCCTCCTGCAGGCAGAGGTTTGGGAGGAAAGGCGTCAGCTCCTGGACCTACTTTGCACAACTTCACAGTCCCAGAGTGCTCGGCTCTGGCGTGGGTTCGTCCTTGCCTTGTATCTTCCCTAGGGCTTGATTTTCACAGGAGCTTCCAGCTTCCACTGACTCAATCCTACAGGAATTCAGCACCGTGGGGACCAGACCTTCTCATGCATTGGTCTCATGCTCTCAAGCCCCCTCTCCTGCTCCATCATGAGACCCTGGCAATGTGGCAGGTGTCCTCGCCACATGGCAGTAGTGTGACGGAGCAACACTGCAACGAGGCGCAGCCGCCTTCCCTTTCCCCGTCTGCGTTCTCCTTGGACACGAGAGTGTGCGAGAGCTCGGCAAAGTTTCCCTTTTGCAAACTAGAAATAAATCCTTCCGTTCCAAAATGCCATCTGGCACCTGACAGTTGTGTTTCAGCTTCACAGTCTCAAATTTAATTGTAAGCTCTTTTGCAGGGTTTTCAAGGACAGCGTGACACAATATGGACTACCTACAATGAAGACATATGAACTCTGGAGCATACCAAACAAATTCCTTGCATATTTGTTTTCCAACACAGCATCAATCACCGCGGGGATGTGAGAGTGTCCAAAGCAGCAGGAAAAAATGCTACTGCTTGCAGTTCTTGGAGTGTAATTCATTTCAGAGCTCAGCACATTAACCGTACCACTCCAACATCAGATACAAATCGCTCTTTTCCCTGCTACCCATTTGCTATCTGCAAAGCACAGATTCAATATTTAAAGATGCAGGGTCTGGAGCCTCAACTGGTGCAAAGCAGCAGAAGTGGGCTGAACAGCAGTGCTCAATAGTTGCACTTGGTAGAGCTGGAGCCCGGTACGGTCCCGGCAGGTACGTGGGTTCCTGGGGTCGGCGGAGCATCTGACCTACTGGCGCGGTCCATAGACTTTCCCGTAGCATGGCACGGATCCTCTCACTGGGCAGAATGGTTATAATAAAGCCTTGCTCCTATACCATGTCTTTAATGAGCAGATCTCAAAGCATGCAGAGGGTGGAAATCCTTATTTTGCCTCATAAGTGGGAAATTCTGCCTTGAATCGCACAGCTGGGAAGCAGCAAATTTAGGCATCCTGACTCCCCTGTCAGTGCTCGATCCATCCTGCCTGCCTGCGGGACTGGCGGAGTGGGGCCTTGGTAGAAGACGTAAGGTTTCTTTGCAGAGCAAGTTCAGCTGCTCAGAGTCCTGCCAGGTGAACGACTAAATGTCAAGGGCATCTGGGTATGTGAGTCACAGCCAGGCACTTAAGGCAAATCCTCTGCCACTTCTGCAAGCCCAGGAGACACTCTCAGACACAGGAAGGGCCATTTTTGGCACTTTCACACAATTTGGATGCTATTCCCACCTGTGGTAGAATAGTGCTGCCAGGTATGTCCACACATGGCAGAAAGAAAAGGGAGTATTGGGGCGAACCCTTGCCCTCTTTTAGCCCAACAGCCAGGGCACTGACCCAGGAAGCAAGAAACCTGGGTTTTAGCAGCTCCTCGCCCCGAGGGGTGGTTTGACTCTGTATCCCCGCCATGTCCCAAATTAAGCACTGTCCAGACTAGGAAGGGCCATTACCACCTATATAAGTAAGTCGTGTTTCAGGATGTGTAAGTCAGCCAGGAGTTAGCCCTTGCTTTCCCACCTCAGGTCACCCCCTTGCCATAGTCCTGGGCCTGACTCCACACTGGAGAAAACTCCACTAGGGAACTGCAGTGGGATCACGTGGGCCACAGAGCACCGTTTGCCTGGCAATGCACCCCAAAGGACCACTTTGATCACAGCCCCAGCCCTCCAGCCCTGGGGATGCCACCGCTGGCTCATAAAAAGGTTGAAGAGTTCCCAGTCTAGTTTGCTAAGCTAACCATGCCCAGCTCATATAGGCTTCCCTCCTCACAGATTCTCCACTCTCCCCATCCTACTCATAGCCTTTTCTCTGCACCCATCCCTGTTTGAATTGGTCTTTCTCAAACCTGGGTGACAAGAACGGCACCCAACATGCCAGATGCCTTGAAAGGCATTCACCAGTGCCTTGCACAGCAGGTATACATACTTCCCTATCTACCTCTGCTGGCAATACTTTGTTTGATACACATCCTAAATTTTGGGGGGTTTTGTTTGGGTTTTTTTTCCTCCCATGGTCACATCACATGAGATGCGTGTGGGGAGGTCTGGTCCCCTCCTCATTCATGGTCTAGACCTCACAGGTCTATCACGCTGTGATAGACTCACGCAGCCAAGGCTTTCTCCATCTCATAACGAACTGATGAAATCACGCCTGGCCAACATTAGCTTTGCTATTACCGTATTTACTCATATATCACACAAACCTTTCCCGGGGGGAACTTGACCAGCTTCATGTCCTAATAAAGATCAAGCCCATAAAAAAGGGCAGCACTGGAAGAGCCAAGACTCATTAAGTCAATTGACTCCTTCACTTGGTGGAATAGAAATACCACTGCTGTGATCAGTCAGTTGGCTTTAAACTTTGGGTCAAGCATGAATCAAAGTGTGTGTGTGTGGGGGGGGCACTTCTATTTTGGGCAGAAAAATCAATCATGACAGTTGTGGAAGGCTAATTTTTGGAGTAAAGGTATATGTGACCATCTCCTTTTTTTATGGACTTGCTACTCCACTAAGCAAGCTAAGCTTTCTTTCAGGGATGTTGGTATCTATTAGTACCTATTAGTTTCTTTCAGTGATGTTGGTACGCCTGGGTCTCTCTTCTATTTCACAGTCCTGTTTTTAGCTCTTTTCAGACTTGCAGAGCTGGCCAGTTTTCAACAGTTTCAGCTTTTGGCTGAGCAGGAAAAGGAGGGTGAGTGAGCTGACGATTGGGTCCAGCCCTACTCGGTACAGCTATAGCTCTAGGTAAAAAAAAAATCTATTTTTTCTTCATCCTGACTTCCCCAAAACAAGGTACATGTCTTATTTGCAGGGGTATGTGCTCTGCAAGAAACTATGGTAGTCCAGTGTCCAGCTTTGCATTTTTCACTATTACATGTTATTCCAGTCTCGTTGTGGCAGTCCTCAAGGTCATCCAGTTTGTCCTAGGTGATATACTCTTCTATGACAATGCCTCACAACTTTGGCCCCAAAAGCAGGCATTTGTGATGATATTTGCTGATGGCTCAATGTCCTTAATGAAACTACTAAATCGCCTTACTCTCATGATTTGTCTCAAAGGAACTCTACTGCTGGCTTGATACCTCCTGGCCTGTCATCATCGTCCCCTTCCTCCCTTCCTTTCACACGTTAACATCCTGATCTCAATCCCTTTGCTCTCCAGAGGAATGAACAGTCTCCTGTGTGGCATTGTATCATTGCTCAAGTCCAAGGGGTTTGGTGTCATCATAAACCCTGTTTAAAAGGTCTACCCAGAAAACCTGTCCTGCTGCCATCCTCAACTGCTGCATACACATTTACCTCCTGTCTACCGTCATCCCTCGTCTACTCAGCAGGGTCTCTTTAAGACGATGCTAAATAACACCGTAAACTTCATTGAGTGGTCTCTTTGAATGCAGCAAGTAAAAGCGAGTTCTGCACGGTGACTCCAGGTTGCTCAATGTAATTGAGATCACGTCGGGACGAAACGTTATTTTTCTAAGTGCCAGCGTTGCAAAGATATTAATCTTGTTTGCCGGCAAGATTGATGTGGGCTCTGCTGAAATATGGTAGTAGCTTCAGTTAGATCCCTTTAATTGCTCCTCAGCTTCCCCTATAATATGATTGTTGTTATCCCCTTCTTTTTCCTTCCCTCCCAGAGATGACGTGTGGTGGTGTCTGAGCCCAGCATGGGAACTGGCACTCAGTTGCAAGCCTGTCTCCAGAAGCATTAATGCGATGAGCCCTGGGAAACCAAAGGGTTTGGAGCAGGTGCTGCTTTTGGAGCATGAGCATGACAAGCTGATATCTCGGCTATAGGCGAGAGGGATCTGAACCGACTGTAGAGTCGTTTGGGGAATAAAGCAAAGGGCAGAGTGGGCTTTAATAAGGTGTGAATTTAAAGGGGTACATGCCGCTTCTCTTGAGACAGCCATAAGAAGCACCAACCCATCTATCATAAGTGTCCCACGTCTGCCAGACCCGGATACGAGGGAGTGAAGCTGCCTCCTGGCTACAGAGAGCAGCAGGGATGCTCTCCCTGTGGTTTCACCCCTTCATTTCTGGGTTGGTGGGGCTGGGCTTGCATTTGTACCAGTGGTCTCCAAAGCGCTGGCAGCTGCTTACCTTCTCCTCTGGGATCGGCGGGGTGAGGAGGCTCACAAAGACGATGACGATGGCCGTGAGCCCGCAGAGGATGAGCGCGAAGTAGAGGTAGTGCAAATCCTTCAGCACGCCCGGTCTGCGGTCCTCCTCGCCGCAGGACGGCGTCTGATAGCAGAACTCCATGATCATCCGAACGAGGCCGACCGTCAGGCCGAACATGAGGCCCCAGAAAGCCCCCTGACAAGGACACGTGGGGAAAAGGAAATATGAGGTTATGGGCATCTGTGCAGGGGGTATAACAGTGCCAGACAGCAAGGAAGAGGAAAGCAGCTCATGTCAAAGCCTGTATTTGTGCTCAAAGCTTGTAAAACCACATGGGTGCTGAGATACCAATGCCCATCCACGAGACACCAGACTGTGCCCGCTAACTCGCACCATCCTGTGGCTGTCTGACTGCCACCAGCTAGCTGCAACGGCTGACCTAGAGATGGGAGAATATATAGATCAGGCTGGTCCTGGTATAGGAGCAGACCTGTGAATCTTGGGGCTGGGGAAGTGAGTGAAATGATGCCCCCCCCCTATTCAAGACCACCTCGACCCTGCCCTAGCTGACTGACTCTGCAGCCCAAACAACCAAGTCTCCCTTTACTCCTGGGGTCCTGATCAGTGAAAGCCTGGTAGGAGCAATGCACTCCCGCAAAAAAGGATGCATTTTTCTCACCATCAACCTGGTTCCTCACTTACAGGCTCATTGATCCTCTTGCAGAAGATGGCCAGGAGGAAGAGGGCAGTGATGGGTGGGGCCAGGTAACTGGTTATGGACTGGATGTAGTCGAAGAGCTGGCCGCTGTTGGCCGTCTGAATGAGGGGAATCCACAGGATGCTGATGACGACAAGGATGAGAATGAAGACTCTGGAGAGAGGAACAGAAGATATTCATTTTTCATGCACCCTAGGGGAAAAGATGCCCCTCATGCCCTCATGTAATGCAGTGCTGGAGTCTGACAAGAGAAGGAAATGAATTGCAACTAGAGAGGGGGGGTCTCGTTGGGGCTGAAATCCAGGAGGGGAATCTCCTTGTGACATCAGGCAGGAAAGAAATGACCCACCCCTAGAGGAAGAGCCGCATCACCCCGACTAGCTGAGTCTCGTCGCAATCCCAATCCCAAGACAACTCCAGGAACTGCAAGGAGTTGGTAAGTCTGTACTTGGCGTGTGGGTGAGCCCTGGTTGACTCAACAGCTGGATGTGTTTTTAGCGGGCACGGTGCTGGCAAAGACACTGTCTCTTGGATGAGATGAAGATTAAAGACCTGACAACTCGTGGTCATTAAACTCAGCTTGCATAAGAGCAGGGGCGTTAACCCTGGAGGCTTAGCCAATTTCCAGCTAAGGTCACTCCCATCTGCTTATTAAAATCACTCCAGCAGCTTCAGCTGCATCTAAGATCCTCCTTCATTTTGTCCTTTCTGTTAGGCAGTGCTGCCAAGTACTCTAAAGCAGTTCATGCTTTCCGCCTCGATGCACGGCAGGGATGGGATATGCGATCGCTCACTCCATATCCTTCACTTAGCCCGCGGGGCTTTCTTAATATTGGTGTTTCCAATGAAAGGCTGATCACCGGAGGGCAGGCTGCTGTTTCCAGCTGTTAGCTGGAGCACTGCTCTCCTACCCCAACATAACGCAGTGCCAAAGTCTGCCTAGAGAGACAGCCACAACCCCCCCAGGAGTTAAGACAGGTCCTTATGTCAAGTTTAGAGACCAGATAGCAATAAATTAGCTGCATCTGTGATGGGTTCAACCTGCTGTGTAGTGAAAATCTGTCTATAGAGAGAGCCACAAGCCCCCCAAGAGTTAAGGCAGGTCCTTATGTCATGTTTAGAGACCAGATAGCAATAAATGGTCTGCATCCATGATGGGTTCAACCTGCTGTATAGTGCAAGTCTGCCTATAGAGAGAGCCACAACCCCACCAAGAGTTAAGACCGGTCCTTATGTCAAGTTTAGAAACCAGATAGCAAGAAATTAGCTGCATCTGTGATGGGTTCAACCTGCTCTGTAGTCAAATTGGGTAAAGGCTGGGTCCACTGGGTAAAGGCTGGGAAACAAAACCATCTCTTTCAGAGCCTACTCTCCTTATTGACATGCTCTGGGTTTCTTAACTTTCTCCGCGAGTCCAGCTTTGGACGGGCTAGAGAGTTTAAACTCTAATCAAAACAGACAAGGACAAGGCAAATGTGCTCAGCAAAGCCGCGTGGAAGGGCGAGGACCTGCCAACAATCATGAGCTCCTGCTCTGAAGCCTTCTTGCGGACCCTCTGCCAGATATCGATGGCGAAGAGCGTGCTGCTGCTGTTGAAGATGGAGGTGAGGGAACTCATGAGGGCTGCCATCATCACGGCTATCATCAGACCCCGGAGTCCTGGAAAACCGGGAATGACAATTGGGTACAGCGTTTCGGCCTTCGCGCTCCTACTTCAGAGTTTACAGTGCCGCCCATTCATTTATTTATTCTAATTCAGTGGTTTTTACACTGCTGTTCTCCCACCAGGCTGAAATGGGCTCAGGTGAACGCTTGTCGTTGTAGGACCCTGAAAGACTGGAGAGCAGCAATGCTAATTTGTAAAGACCGGCTCATATAAGACCTGCTTCAAATAACTCATAATGCTAAGTCACCTGGTGATAGCAAACTCAGAATTTGGCAACCTGCAAATACTGCACATCCCCTTCACAAAGCAGAGTTAATTAGAAGGTCGAACAAGAAATGCAGATTCTGCATTTAAAATCGGAGACCTAAATCTTAACAGAAATCCCCGCTTCACTCCATTTACTCCCTTTACATACACTACTTGATCCATCATATTATACCCATCAATACACATCACGTATAGGTCAAATATGCCAACCATGCATTGATATTCTATTAACATAGTTCATAAAACGCATTAGAGGACTTCCATAATGCTCTGTTATTAATTACCATTAGCACTAATGCGATATCAATGCCATTTAATAATGCTATGATATTTTAATATGTCATTACTATATAAAAACTGAAAAGGTCCGCTGAAAAAAAATGTTTGTGGCTTTTTTGTTTTTAAACTCTGATGATACGTTGTGCCTTTTGAGCGGTTATAGTGAACACTTACCACCTCAATACTAACCCATCTAGTTCTTTTTATCCAGCTATCTGTATAATCAGACCCACATGGATATAAATGGATATCTGTATAATAAACCCACATGGATATAAATGGATATCTGTATAATAAACCCACATGGATATAAATGGATATCTGTATAATAAACTCACACGAATACTTTTGCTGTGTAATGGAAATTAAACCATTGCTATCTTTTAATTTTTTTCTACAACCCGGCTTATATTGGTAGCAAATTAGTTCCTTGTATTTATAACCGAAAAGAGTACCGTTGCACAGTACTTGAGGTTGCACATTTGGCCACAACCAGAGCAGCAAAGCTTCCTCACCTATGGGCATGAGCTCCATCACCAGCTTTGGGTAGGCGATGTTAGAACAACCCACTTTTGCTCCACAGACCTTTTCACAGATTTTCGGGTCCACGCATCCCACGTCATCTGTAGCAGACAGGGGGAAAAAAAACCCAAGCCAATTGTAACACGTCTACTTCTTCTAGAGGACATACACATGGAAGAACTAATTCTTGATCCCTTGGGTGTTTCAAATAAATCAGGACAATAGCTGGAAGGATGGGCAAGGGTTATTTCAGATCTCCATCTCACAGTAGCCTTTTGCAAACTCTGCACAGAACGGATGCAAAACCCGGACGTCACATAGCAAGAGAGCCTCTGACCAGTGGTTCGAAACACATGAGCCTTCGTGGCCTGAGCTAAAGCACACACTTCTGCCAGCCAGGCGCCATCTGTGCATGACCCGCACATCGCCAGACGGACGGCAGATACAACGCAGACTCCTCTTATAGCCTGGCTTGGCTCCTCTGCCCCTCATCCCTGTGCCCCATTAGCAACCCCACCCCGAACAGCTATGTGAACCGCTGTTTCCAACGCTGCTGGCTCCTTGGGACCAGAAAGGAGGGGAGATCTTGCTCCTTGCTTCTTACTGCAGAAAGGAGTTCAACCTGGTAGCTCCTTGGGCAGCCGTCTCCTGACGAACCTAGCAGCAAAAGCGCTCCTTGCGGCATGAAGCCTTCAAGGTTGAAGGTCTCATGATGCTACAAATGAATTTGCTCTTGGGGCAGCAGCATAATGGAAGAAACCAGCTCACGTCCTCCTCAGAAGAAGCCCTACACTCGGTGCATCTCAGTGTCTCTCACTTATTTCCAGCTGCCTCCTGGTAGGTAAAAGCGCTGCCCACGAGATGGCACTGTGGCCCATGCACTTAGTGCTCGGGCTACAGCTATAGGAGAAGTGGCCCAAACTTTGAGGGGGAGGTAGGGTCTGGGGGTTTCCATCTATATTGGAAATGCTAGATGGCAAGGGGGTGTTTTGTGCACGATACCCCTGAGTCTGGGCTTCTAACGTCCAATGGTTTTGCATCCATCGGAGGCTCCTGCACAAGGAAATCACATTCATAACCCCTGGATGGAGTATGCAAGCTGGGAAAGCAGCCTTACCTGGGTAGAGGGCTCTGCTGATCATACCCGGCATGACAATGAAAAACATAGGGAGTATTTTCAAATAGCCCGCCAGCACCGATCCACCCTTCGCATGAGAGACGCTCTTGGCGGAGAGGGACCTTTGAACTATCACCTGCGTCGGTGGGAAAATGCAAAGCGTTAAAAGTGGAGAGAAAAGGAGAGGAAAACCCCTTGCATTGTGAGAGGACGTGTGTCCCGGAGAACCCCAGGGCACTTTGCAAGCCCACAGCAAGGCTCTCCTGAACAGCAGATCTCTGTCGTTCAGTTTACTATTGCCGCCATCCCTGAATGGTGCGTGGACTGACTATGAAGCTGGTGAAATTACTCGTTTACCTGCACAGGAATCATTTCATGGTCCCCTGAAATGCAGCCAGCTCTTGGGTGAAAGACATCAGGTGCTTAACCATGCACCCACAGGCACTGGCCAAGAGCTTAGGGTCAGGTGTGATACAGTACACAGCATGGCGTTCCCTACCTTTACCACTGAGAAGGGGCTTCGAAGGAACGAACCCAGTTTGCTTGGCTTTTTCTCATCACCTGGGTGCCTTATTTGCTTAATGAATGTCACGCTAGATTCCTAGCCCATGACCAGGAAAACTGCAGCGGCACTGCAAAGTTAATCTGATTTGTGGCCCTGGAAAACTCGGCATGTCTGACAGTGCTTTCCATGTGTGGCTTTCAAAGCATTGGACAAAAAGGGGCGTTTTTACTGCTGGGTTACAGATGGGGAAACTGAGGCACACTAAAATTGACACTGACTCATCCAAGTCATTAGCAGAGCTCTCAAGAGCTGCGCACAGGGTGCTTGTACTGCCTGCTCATGCTCCCTCCATGAAAATACCTGCCTGTAGTGTGTATATGGGAAAACCAAGCCTGCTGCTCCTTGCAACACTGAGGCCAAGAAGGAGCCACATTCACTTGGGCTGTGGAAGAAATAAGCTGGGGTGGCCTATTAAAGACCCCCCCAAAGATGCCACCCCACCCCATCAAGCATCATTTCACTGCCTCTGTAACCCATGATGTGGCATGGAAATGACATTGCAGTGAAGCACCAGGGGAAGGAGCGAGCGCGTGGGACGGACTGTACCTGGTCCGTGCACCAGCACCAAAGGGCCAGCACCGAGAGGCCGAATATCAGGCCAGGCCAAGGGATGTCCCCAGTGATAGGGTCCCTGAGCATGTGGAAAGCGTCCGGGCGCGGGAGGTGGCACGTCGTGTTTGGGACGGTGACGCTGGGGATCGCTGTGCTGTATTTCTCTTTGAGTCCTTCATACCAGCCGATTTTTTCAAACCCTGAGGAAGAAGGAGCCAGTCATTTATATCTGTGGGAGTTTTCATTTGCTCTGCCTCACTTTGCTTCTGTTTTCTCCTTTCTTCCTCCCTCTCCCTTCCCTCCTTCCTCACCCCTGGAGCTGTGCAGAAGGGCGTCGGACTCCAGTCGGAGAATTTGGGCTTCTGCAGCCAGCCGTGCATTCGGGGAGAGGATGCACCATTGCTGCTGACCTCCCTCGTGTCAGTCACCCGCACCCAGCTTGGCAATGACGTGCTATGAGAACCCAAATCTCTGATCGTAAAGCTCATGAACACCCGAGCCAGAAAGACGTGACACCAAAGATGATGGCACTTGGGTTCCTGTTGGCCAGGGAGGCGTAGAGCAAAGCGCTCAAAGTGCCACAGTTCAGGATTGGTCTCAGATATGCCCATGTAAATGCACCGTAACTCCCCCAAAGTCAATGAAGGAAAGCAAGGGAGGCTGGCAAATGTCCTGGGTATCCTGGAGCTACAGGGGTGAAAATTGTGCAAAACCAGTCCTGCAAAGTGCCCCATCAGCTCACCATGGGTGCAAAGGAGTGGAAGGTGCTTAGTGCCTCATTCAATTAAAATCTGGATTTGGGCATAAATCAGGGATGAGACTCAACTGGCTGGAAGTGGAGCGCAGAGGAGCCAGGGCTTCTTGCTATTATGATATAAGGCCCATTTCTGGGTGAAAGAGTGGGGGCAAGTGCCCTGTTAGGCTCAGCTCAAGATTTGGATGGCAGGTAACCCCATCTCTTTTTCTTCGTACCTATGAACGTGAGCACCAGCGCTCCTATCACCATGATCACAGTCTGCAGGGTGTCCGTGTACATAACAGCTGTTAAACCGCCTGTTGGGAGAATCACAAATGACAGTGTCCGCCGGTCACTTTTATTTGCAAAACCAGCCAGCGCTGGCGGGTTCCTCGCTTTGAAGAGCCTGGCCTCAGTCCTGCGACTCCAGAAAGGAGCTGCCAGGAGAAGGCAACACCGGTGATTTCCATGCCTTGAGCACTTCACAATCGCCACCCCCTTGTGAAGTACCAGGGTATTATCCCTGTTGTATAGAGGTGGGACCAATGCATAAATCAAGTCACTTCTCCACTTTCACACCATGAGTGGATACAACCCATCATGGATACAACACTTAGGAGGTGGTACCTACACCTCCTGAGTCACCATCTAGGATCCTGACAAGCAACCCATCCTCAACGCTTGGGCAAGAAAAGGGTGTCTCAGCCATGTGGACAAAAGTCAGACATCATTAAGGTTTGCTTTGCTCATAGGCTGCTGCCCAGGGAACACAACCCCTCCTCTCTTCAGTCCTGCCACGTGGAGGCATATTCGAGCCCTAACACTGCCTTGCTAAGAGGCTGGGAACATGTTCCTCATTCAGTTGATCAATAGGGGCTTGCTCCATTAATTAAGTCAAATGAAGTCTTTTCATTGACTTCAGTGAGCTTCAGATTCAACACCAAGCCCCCAGACAGAGCCCAAGCACCCGGGCGTAGGGAGTAGGGAATCCATTAATCTTCAGCTTGGGACATTTCTTTTAAAGTATCATCATTACCAGCAATCGTGTAGACAGCCGTCACTGCCAGCAAGACCACCGTTGAGAGGTAAAGGTTCCAGCCCAGGGATATTTGGATGAATAGCGCCCCAGAGAAAATATCTGTCTGGAAGGAAAAGCAAAGAGAGTTTGACTGTGGGGCTACTTGCTCTCATTAGTACTTCTGATATCATCTTGATGGCTCAAAAATCCTCCAGATGGGCCATGAGAAGGGAGCAGTGTGTGGGAGATTGAAAGGTAAAAGAGGAGGGAATAAGGACAGGAAAGGGAGAAACAGAAATGGTGACCGGCGCCGTGAAAAGCATGCATCTTGAAGAATCTCTTTGTACCCAGCCCAGGAACAGGAAGAAATCCTCCCCTCTCTGCAATAGGGGAAAGCATTGAAAATGTCTAAGGGCAGGGCAGGCGTGTCCCTCAGCAAGTCTAAGGGGACCACCAGGAACACTACGTAGGGCAGGCATCAGTGGGAGAAGACTCATGGCCTTGGGAAGGGCAACAAAAGGATGCAAAGGCAACAGCAAGATGCCCTGGAGAAGAGGGGACAGTTCCCAGAGCTGGAGAGGTGAGGGTTGTGACTGAGCTCATGCTGCTAGATGGGGAGTTTGGAAGGAGAGGGGGTCATTTGCATCGGCGCGTGGGAGACTGCACGGGTCAGAGCAATGGCCTCATCCTGAAAGACCCAGGCTGATTTACTGCTCTTGACTTCTCGATCTGAACACGGACAAGGGCCGGCTCCTTCACGGGTGTAAATAAGGGCAGCTGCACCGATTGCAAAAAATGATGCCTGCTGAGGATCTGACCTCTGCTCGCAGAAACCCCGCGGCGCCTGATTTGTTTGGGTCTATTCACAGGAGATGGCGAACGAGGTCAGAGGGAGAAAAATACAGCTCTCATTCAGACACGGCCATTGCAAAGGCAGAAGGCGACACATAACAAGTGGGAAAGGGTTTTACGTGCGAGAGAGAGTAAATCTGAAAGAAAACTGTAAGTCACTTTGCAGGGAACGCCGTTCGCCTCTCGCCATGCAGCAGAGACAGAGCGGGATGATAAAGACCCAGGGCTTTCTACATCCCAAATAATCGTCTTAATATCAAGCATCCTTTTGACCTCCGGGCCTGCACACCCTGCGTCACACTAAGTGGTTCTGGCCAGGTGGTACGGCGCTACCTTTACATAATGTATTGTGAGCTTTGACTTCCCGGCAGGAAATGCAATGATCAGTGTATCCGTGCCCTGCCAGGCCTTTGACATCATCTGTCACCCTGATCTGCGCTCTTCTTGGCAAGCACAAGGAGCGTGGAGCTGAGCAGCAAAGTTATAAAACAACGTTTGGGCAGGAAGCACGGAGAGAAAAATTCCCCTCATAACCAAGCCTCCCGCTGGCCGGCCAGCTGCTAATTAAGTGCTCTGCAAACAAAGGTGCTGCTTTTACAGAGAGCACCTCTGAGGTCTATAAAGTAAACCAGGCTCTCCCATCAGACACGGGTGAGCTACCTTCAGCAGGGGAAGGCAACCGAATAGACTAAGGCCAGACAACCGATCTGAGGACTGAAAACCTGGCTTCCCTCAAGGGCACACGGCAGCTCGATGTTCCTCGCATGGCTTTTGTCTCCCTTCTTGACCTGGATTTCATAGAAAAGCAGGGCTGGAAGGGACCTCCAGCAGTCATCGAGTCCAACTGTGGTCATTTAGATGCCCTGTGGTCATGCCAGAGGTCACCGGGTCCTATGGTAGGATCATGCCTATTCAAACCATCCCATACACATCCATTATCGAACCTATTAGCAAGTCAACCCTGATGTAACTACAGGACATAAAGCCGTAACCTGCCACAGGTCAAACAAGGGGATAATGGTGGCTTTGAGCCTATTAGTGCTAGTTCTGCAGGGGGAGGTGACTGTGAGCTCCTCCTGGCTCTAAGGAGAGACCCAGCCGAATCCCACAAAGCAAAACTTTGGATTTTAGAGAACAACAGCCCGCGAGACCGAAGCTGTTTATCTACCTGTGAAGCAGGAAGGAGCTGTACCCAGGGCTCGAATTATGGAGGAGCTCAGGGCTGGATTTTGAGACAAGAACCCCTCTGTAAGATTTGAAAATCATAAAATTGGGGCGGGGGGTCTCTGATTTTATTAAGGCATTGTGGTGCGCAGCTCAATTTTTTAATTTTTGCAGACCCTCCCAAGAGTGAAAGTGTAATTTGACCTCTGGCTGTACTGCCTTCCCCCACTAATGACCCACCCTCAACCACTTCACCAGTGCTGCCATGGGGATTAGGTGGCCAAATACCCACAGACCCCAAATTTCAAGAGGAGCGGGTCCTTAATTACTACTGCCCTGGGCTACATATAGAACAAAGACTTAGAAACAAAAGATGGGCATTGCTCTCATCAGACCCTTGGGCTCTCTAGTCCCCTGAATAATGAACTTTTCCTGTGCATGAGACTTGTCTGGGACTGTCTTCCCTCCAAGTGCATCGATAATGACTACTCAGACCTTGGGCAGAGAATCTGCTCCTCTTTGCAAAGTAAAATGACAGCAAATGCTCAGAGCTGATGTCTGCCTGCAGGTCCTATAATGCTAACAGCATGCAACTAGCACTGCTCCTCAACTCACCCCTAAGGTAGAAGATATTTCCTGTCCCTCTTACAGGTGCCAACAGTGGAAACCATCTCAGAGGGGAAGAGAAAGGCAACTAGCTGTGTCCTTAACATTAAATTTTGCAACGAAAAATTTCAGCTGAGAAAAAAAATTGTGGAAATGACCATATATGAAGATTAGCTTTGCATGATATTTAAGCGACACCAGGTGCAGTGGACTCCGGACAGGATCCTCGCACGGTACCCGCTGCAGCAGCTACAGCAAGAGCTGCTTCCCCATGGGATACGTACTGATATCTTGGTGAATATATAGAGAATGAGGGACAGCACAGACATGTAGATTTGAATCCTTTGTCCTCCAAATCTCTTCCTCAAGTACTCGGGCATGGTGATGACACCGGCAGCAATGTAGACGGGCACAAAAATCCAGCCAAGGGCCAGCAGTGCCCAGGTAGCCTAGCAATAGGGAAGAAAATAAAGGCTTATGATTAAACTCAAGGGAAAACGCTCTTTGCCTGCAACACACAGCATCAGAAAGCATGGAGAAGCAGCCTCTCTCAGGCAGAAAGGGAATGAAGGCTCTGGGATGCAATAGCATTTCTCTGCCGGCAATGGAGGGTTACCCTTGGATGACAAAGGGGACAGATGAATGATAGCATGGTGAATACAGCTCTCAGCAGAGCTACAAGCCTTTGGAGATCTCTCCTAATCCCCACATTTCCCTTTTTCTAGCATGTTGGCTCCTGTGTCTCTCCCCTGCCTCCCTGGCAGAGTCCCACATCGCTGCCCCAGCTCTATACAAGGAGTATTTGGTGAGCTTTGGTACCTGTGGCACCGATGCTGGCGGCATAGAGCCGACTGACCTACAGGTGCCTTTGAGCATCTCATTACTTTTGCCGCACCGTACCGCTCGATTAGGAGCCAAGGAAGCTGAAGCTACAGGATCTTTCTGAGGAACAGAAATAGAAGTGGCAGCAAAACCCTCACTTTCAGGACAGCAGACCGGAGGTGACTGTTTTTTGTCCTGTAAGCGGCAGAGCAAGGGGAAGCAAAGCTCCAGCATGAAAGCGATTATTTGTAATGTCTTTTGGGAGGTCTAAGTCGTCTGAGCCCAGCAGTCTTCTCTGCCCAAGTGCCCAAGGGTCCCTTCCAGCCCCTAACATCCATGAATCTATAACTTGTGGTCCCCCACAGCCTGCTTCTTTAACATCCAGCCAATGTGGCCAATGTCATCGTTTCACACCTGGAGATGTTAAGGCCAGATGTGACTGTTAGATCGTCTAGTCTCACCTATCCCACTTCATTCGAAGACCCCGCATCACACCTGAAACACTACTTAGATGAAACGTCATTCCCCAAAACTGAAATGTGTGTCACAGACAGAGGACAGGCCTGACCAAAGTGCACCCAGTGCCTGAGGCTCCTGGCATGGACGGGACGGGATTAGGTGAGATATGCCCACCTGAGCTGAGCAAACAAACCCTGACCCAGACCACGACCTTGCTAATCTGAAGCCCACATGACAACACGGATATGGAGTCATATTTGCTCTGGATCTCAAACTACACTCTTCGCATCCCTATATAACCACCCAAAAAAGGAGCCACTTAAAATACAGTTGCATCAATAGGTCCTGTCTGAATGTGGGCCGCAGTTTCTTCAGAGGGGGCTTATGGGTGATTTCAATTCCTTTGAAACAAAGGGATGCCTTGAAAATAAACGCTGCTTGACCGTGTGCCTGCCCCTGGGGCAGCACACTTCGTCTCGGCTCAAGGACGGCCCTATAATGGAATAGCACAGTTTGCATTATAAGACTACATAGGGACCTGCTGCAGACTCATGTCTAGCCCCTAAAAATGCCAAGTGTTGGTGCAATGGCACTATTCTAGCTGGCTTTACTCGGATAGGAATAACCCCAGGCTGACACCAGGATGGCAAACAGCTCAGAAATGTTACTACAGAGCTACAGCATTCATGACTCAACATCATGACATTTGCTCCTTTCCATAAAGCCCCAAGTCCAGGAATCCTGTGATTTATGTGAGCTTCTCAGGCCCCCCCTTTTTTTTTAATTATTATTATTTGTAAAGTCTCTTGTCTTTATGGCAGCGGAGAAAAAAACTGCATGACTCAAGTGTCCCTTAGAGGCTCAGCAAAAGAAAATCCAAATGTTGTCATCTTTTCAAAGCCCAGCTGTATTTCAGGTGACCTCTGAAGTGCTACAGGCCTGAATCATGAGTTTAGGCACTGGGAATGGATGGGCTGGCTAATAACTGATTCATGAACCAAATATGCATGTTGTCTGTAAACGGTGATGTCTTTCCGGTTTCAATACTTACGTTCCACTCAAAGCCCCCGACAGCAAGACCCCCGGCCGCCCCCGTGCCTGCCAGGCCGATGAACAGCCCGCTGCCCACGTTGCTTGACATCAGAGATGCTCCGATCTGAAATGCAAGGGACGGCACAGAAAACAGAAAGGCACTTCGAGCAGCTTCAGAAAAGCAGACGCCCAAGCCCTCCCCGGGGCAAGGGGGTTTCCATTTGTAGGAAGCTACTGGGGAGACCGAACCAGGGGCTTAGATGCGACAGTGAGAGATGCAGCAGCACTTCCATAGGCAGGCAGAGCGATGAGCGCAGGGATCCTAGTTTTCTCCGATTTAAAAAATAAATAAATAAAAAAAATTCCCCGGTTTTCGGATGAAAACAAGTAACCCCAAATCCATTAATTTTTTGGCGATTAAAATGAAACACCAGTAATAGATAGATATATGCACAGCAGGGTTTCACTTTAATCGCGGGAAACTGAGTTTGGGGGTTACTTTTTAAAATCTGAAATTTGGGGATTTTTTAATTTATTTTTTTTTTATCAGAGAAAAACAGGATCCCTGGTGATCAGGACTGAGCACCGACTCAGGATCGGGGCCATATGAAACAAGCACTGCTTCCTTTACACAAGGTATGCAAGTACATCACAGTGGGCCCTGCTTAGGGCGAACTCATCTCTGCAGGCGCTCCATGAATAGGGAAGCAATGAATCTCCTTTTGCATTGAATATCCCCCTCCCTAAGTACCGATGCAGGCTGTGGTGCCCTCCTCAAATGCCACTGATCCTTTTGGCTCTTGTTTCTGCTCCTTGAAATCCTTTCCCATGTATCACCTCCAAATGGGTCCTTGCTAGGGAGGCTCTGATGCGATCAAATTAGCAAAGACTACGATTCCTCCAGCCGCAGCAAGGATCCCATAGTCCTTGCCTGGGACTCCCTTTGCAGCATCAGCTCTGCTCTGCAGTGTTTGGGGGGGAAAGA